GGTGACGGATTCCAAGGATGTCCCGGCAAGGGGACCCTCGAGGGAGGCAGCGTCCTGGCCCGGGATGGGGCTCAGCTCGGGCTTCCCGGCCCCAGGGGCACATGAGGCAGCGCTTGGCTGCAAGGCCACACGCCAGGACAGTGTCACCGTGCCAGGCGACGGTCCCCTGCGTGGCAGAGTGGCTCGGATGGGTGTAACGGGGCTTCCATGTCCGTGCGGAGCCTGCGCACGGACACGGATGTGATCCTGATGGATCCACGCAGGGCAATGCCTGGCTGGAGGCACCCTCTGGCCCAACACCCTTTCCCCGGGAACACCGCGAGCTCCGCCTGTAGCTAACACCCGGGCGCCTCTCCCTACAGGACCGAGATCTTCTCGGGCAAGACGGTGACTCACGAGGACATCAAGTACGAGCAGGCCTGCATCCTGTACAACCTGGGTAAGGCCGTACCGTACGAGACGCCCGGTGCCGGTCCCCGGGACCCCGTGCCCGGGGACACGCGTGGTGGCACGCGGTGGCCCCGCTCAGCCGTGGCCCCGTTCCCGCAGGTGCGCTGCACTCCATGCTGGGCGCCATGGACAAGAGAGTGTCCGAGGAGGTAACTCCAAACCCCCTTCGTGTCCCTCGAGCGACTTCCTTGTCCCCTGCGGTCAATGAGGGTTTCTCCCGTCACGGGTGACCACAGGCATCCCTGTGGGAGACAATCCCAATGCCTGCGTGACCTAAGCACGGTGTATGATGTCCTGAGGGGCTGTTGTCCCCAACTCGCTGATCCAGGAGCCTCCTCCGAGCTCTTGGTGGCAGCGGGCGCCTTGCTGCGGCGCGGCCCCGCGCGTCTCACGCGTGTCCCCCTGTCCCAGGGCATGAAGGTCTCGTGCACCCACTTCCAGTGCGCGGCCGGCGCCTTCACGTACCTGCGGGATCACTTCCCGCACTCCTACAGCGTGGACATGAGCCACCAGATCCTCAACCTCAACATCAACCTCATGCTGGTAGGGAGCGGGCGCCGGCTGCGGGGCCCTGGGCACGCTGGGGTGGCTCCTCGTGCCCCTCGGGGACACCGGAGGGGACAGGGGACGTATGGAGCGTCTCCCTGGCTGGGGCCGGAGCCTCGATGGGGTGGGAGGCTTTCCCAAGGGAAATAGATGTGGCGGAAGCCTGGAATTCCCCTCCATCTCCACAGGGCCAGGCGCAGGAGTGTCTCCTGGAGAAGTCCATGCTGGACAACAGGAAGAGCTTCCTCGTGGCCCGGATCAGCGCCCAGGTGAGAGGCTGGATAAGCTCCGCCGCGAGCGCTTCCCGCTACGGACACAGCGCGTTCCCGCCCGAGCGCCCCAGGTCCCCTGGCTCTGCTCCAGCCACTGGTTTTTCTTGGATCACGTATTTCCTGGGTCGGAACCAGGGATGTGAGCGCTGCCTGGTTTCGACCCAAAACTCAATATTTGCCATTCATTCCAGTTTGAACTAGGATCAGGTTTCCTGCAGGGTTTCCAAACGCCACAAATCCATGCCAATTCCTCTGCCTCTCCATCCGTAGGTCGTGGATTACTACAAAGAGGCCTGTCGGGCTTTGGAAAACTCGGAGACCGCTTCCCTGCTGGGGAAGATCCAGAAAGACTGGAAGAAATTGGTTCAGATGAAGATCTACTATTTTGCTGCTGTGGCTCATGTAAGTGGGGAGAACGGGCTCTTTTTTGGGGTAGTTTTGGCTGTGAATGGGCCCTGCCCGGGGCTCCCACCCTGGCTGGCTCACCACGACACAGCTGACAAACAGGCTCCGGTGGCTTGGGGGATTTTGCTGCCTTTTCCAAAGATCTCCTGGATAAGAAGCTCTGACACTGCTGCCATGTGTTTTGTTGCAGTTGCACATGGGAAAACAGGCCGAGGAACAGCAGAAATTTGGGGAAAGGGTAAGAACCACCACGCGGGCTCCTCTAGCATAGCCCTGGCAGGGCTTGCTTGGCAGGGCCCCTTGCTTGGGCCACCTGGGGAGGCCCCGCTGTCCCAACAGAGCTGCAGCCCTCGGGAGCTGCTGGTGACGCTCAGGCACAAAGGCACGAGCTTCTGTGCCAGCTGGATAAGAATTTAGATCAGATTATTTATTAGATTATTTTAGAAATTAGATTTAGAATCTAAGAATTCAGACGTAGTCCCTGTTCTCCCTGCAGGTCATCTACTTCCAGAGCGCTCTGGATAAGCTCAACGAAGCCATCAAGCTGGCCAAGGTGGGCTCCTTCCCCGTGGACATGGGAAGCCACCGCTGGGAGCGGTCCTTTCATGTCCCCACGGTGCCTGCGGAAAAGCCCTGGGGCTGCTGGGCTTGGTGGCCACCAGGACCACCGTGCCCGTTGCCCGGCGCGCGCTAACCCGCTCTCGCTCCTGGCGGG